CGCCCCGCTCACCGCCGTGCTGGTCCCCGTGATGGTGCGGCTCGGCCTGCGCTGGATGGAGAACCGGAGCCCACCCACACAAAAGGCGCAACAGCTTCCAGTAAGGGCAAGAGAGAGAGGGCGCACAGCCAGAAATTGCAGACAGGATTACCGCCCTCAGGCGCAAGCAAGCGTACGTATCCGCTCCTCCTCGTATCCACACGTACTCACCCTCTCCACGTACCTCAGTACCGCGGTCCCTCACGCAAGGCCAGAGCGGCCTTCACAACCCTCCACTTCCTCTCCGAGATTGTCTACCGCGCGTCCATCCTCGCCACGGAAGTCGCACGCGCCTCCCGTTTCACATCCAAACATCATCGTGCCGGAGGCTTCCCCATTGCACATGGAAGCTGACGCAGACGGCTTCTCGCGTCGCCTCAAGATCTCCCCTCATCCCCCGTGCTGCGCATGCGCGACCTGCTGCGAACGGCAGTCCCGGCAAACTATACAACCCCAACTCGGATCCCATCCGCCGCCCCGTCATCTCCGCCGAGCCAGACGCAATGTCGGACGCCGCTTCCTCCTCCTATTCCCCGCGCGCGGTGCCCTCGAGAGCCCAGCAACCCGCGCAGACTTCGAGAGGCGCTCCCGACTCTCATCGACAACTCTTTGACCCGCGCAAGCACGACGCGGTGCTCTTCTCGTCTCAGAACCGACATCATGCCCCGAGCGCGCCTCTCACCAACTTTCCCAACGCTGGACGTCCCACGCCCACGCCCAAGTCCTCCGGCGGCTGGGTTTCCGCCTCTACGGTGGTCTCATCGAGGAGAGGAACTTCGCGCAGTACCGCAGCGCCTTCCTGGAAGCATTAGTCGATCTTTCCAGGTACTGGATGGCCGCCAGCGCGCTGCTTGAAGGGACGCACACTTCGAGCAACACCCTCACGGCGTCTGCTGTTGCGGCGAACAATCTTCTCTCACCGAACACCCCCCCGTCCGTCATCGCCCAATCCCCCCGCTACCGATCTGCCATCCGCTGCGGTCTCGCCCACGCCAGCACGCATCGACGACAGCCCGCAATCTTCGGAAGCCGAGATGCCTCTCGGGGCTGACGCCGTCGCAGGTGCTGCGGCAGCCCACATGCACAATATTCCCAGTGCCGGGCAGGAGGCCGCGCGCCTGGTGGAACTCGATTCTGACAAGGGACGCTGGCGTCAAGTCGCGAAGGACTGGTTTGCGCGCGGGCTCGCCATCACGCCGAACTCGGGCAAGCTGCAGCACTATCCCGGACTGCTATGCCGCGATGAGGACGGCACGGACGAGGAGCTCCGCGGGGTGTACCACTTCGTCAAGAGGTTTGTGGTCCTGCTTCTCAACTTCCTAGCGTTGTCTTTGACTCTGGCTGACACACGCTACTTATAGTATGGTCGCCTTCCACCCGTTCTCCACCGCACGCGAATCCGTGCTCGCGATGTGGTCCCCGGCAGCGCAGGCCCAGCGCCAGGCGCCTGACGCGCGTCTTACGGAGCTCTTCGTCCTCTTGCACGGGATGCTGTTCACCAACATCCAGCTCGACGACTTCAAGCGCGTTTTGGAGCGCTTCCAGAAGAAGCCCGAGATCGGAGGTGAGCACTGCGTCTCGATTCGCTCCGTACCAGCGCCCACACATCCCCTCCTTCTGTCGCAGATGGCGAGCAGGTCGAAGAGCGGGAGTGGATCATGATGGCGCTGATCAACATCGGGTCCCTGCTCGAATACAGCCACCAGACCGCCGTGCTGCGTCGCGTGTCGGGCATCGAGGCCCGTAGCGTCAGTGGTCCGAGCCTCAGCCCCACCCTCCCGACTGGAGTCACCGCGGGTAAGGTCAAGGTTCTCATGGCCAAGCGTCTTGACGGTGACACCTCCCGCATGGACATCGACGACGAGGACGGCGAGGGCAGGCAGGGCGCGAGCGAGACCCCCAACGGTTCGACCCCGACCGCGCAGGAGTTGGAGCTCCCCGCCACGCTCAGACATGTGACGCGGCTGACGTTCATGATGCTCTTGCACACGCTCCGCCACCCCTTGCACCGCCCGAGCGAGTATGTGACCCCGACGCTCAAGCCCTGTGAACACGATCATGCTCACCTTCCTCACAACCGTCCTCCGTGAGCTGTCCGCCCGCTGCGCGCCCGAGCGCTCCATCCCGTGGGAGGAGCTCGCGATGTTCCTGACGACGATCCCGCAGCATGACGTCCTGCATGTGCGAGGCCGAGGAGCAGCAGCTGTGGGAGGATAACTGGATTGAGGTAGATGCCGGCGACAAAATGTGCATGGATGGCGGGACTTCTGCTGTGGTCATTGAGCTCAATTAGTAGATGTGTATCAGAGAGCAAATACATTGTCAGAGACAAATGTGTTCCCTCAATAGAGTAAAGCTCTTGCGTTTGCTGCCTCGCCGACAAGGGTGACAGTCACAAATGTAACGAGGTGCAGCCACTTGTTCGATGTGCTGGCACTTCTTCCGGGCCACTACGATCGCAACAGGTCTCCAGTTGCCCACGATTGAGTGAGTTATAGCTCCTTATGTTCATCTGAATGTGGCTGACACCCATGTAGACCATATTCCTGCCTCTGTAGTGTAGGTCATCAGCCTTGTGGTAGGCTGGCCTGCTGTCACAGTCTAACACAACTATTGCCAGCATGCCGAAAGCTGCAAAAGCCAAGCTCATCGCACATGCATTGGTGGGTTTTGAGCTTATCTCTCTCCATCCTATACCCAATGTCTTGCCGATCCGCATGCGAAGCTGGTTTGCAGTGATTCGGCATTTGCATAGCAATGCCGAGTACCTGGATTCCATACGGTATGGTGTCTTTGCCGAGCATCGTGAGCTCTTGGAGCATATGTTCAGAGAACATTTTTCAGACTTTGAGGTGAAAGACCTTTGGGGCGATTTTCATGCTTTCTGTACTGAGTATAGGCACCTTGTACCCCTTGCTCTGCGGGAGGCACTTGATGCATTCTACTTGGCACGTAAGGCATATGGAGAGGCCAAAAAGCGTATAGTTCGATCATGCCGCCTGAATCATAAAGCAGTGACTGCAGCGGATCGGGAAGCTTGGCTCAAAGAGCACTGCATCATTATAGAGGTGCAGAAATGCCAAAAGCCTTATCCACCTCTCCAGCATTGGGTAGTGGAGAGCGGTGAGATTGCAGAACTCTGGCATGCACACTGTGTGGATGGCAAGTTGCATGACAAGCGTGGCAAGCACTACCCACTATTCCGAGTCGATGAGACAGAGCTGGTTGTCGCCCGTGCAGACCAAAGTGTCTTGTTCGTCGACAAGGATAGTAGGGAGCTTGTCGCTTTTGTTATTCGCAACTGGTGTCCAGAGGCAGGAATAGTCGACAGTGTCAATGCAGTCGTCCATAATGCTGCAGCATATAAGAAGAACGTTCGGGTGGGTTATATGCTTGCTCAGCTTGAAATATGATGTTGATATTCCAATAGCTGGACGATCCTGGCTTTATGTCACATGCAGGCTACACTGCTGGATCGCGATCACAGCCAGGCTTCGACTGGGCCCGCAACCTCTCTCCAAAGCTTGCCAAAGACTCTGCCTTCGTCCGGTCGATGCGCTACCAAGAAAGCTCTATCTGTGCCTTCCTATGGAATATGGCCAAAGGTACTCTCCCTGCAGAGGTTATCAAGTCATACGACGACTTTCTGCACTCTCATCATATGGCTCGAATGGGCTGTGGCGATGGCGACTTCCGAAAGGTCGGAGAGTACATGGTCAAAGACAGCAGTGTTCCTCCTGATGCACCTTACCCCTCGACTTTCACCTTTCAGGCTGTGGAGCGCTCACCTCCATCAGCCCTGTTTTCTGTCAACTATGCAAGGTCGGTGATGCTATTCTAGCTGATATAGCTATTTACTCAAATATACTAGGCGCATTCATTGGGAAGGGTCCCCGCACAAGTGGTTGTTTTCTTGGACACTTAAGCGGCACTATGGACCTGAATCAGGTGAGTCCCCACATAAGTGGTTGTTTCCTTGACACTTAAACAGCACTATGGACCTGGATCAGGTGGCAACTTCTATATCCCAGAGCATAAGATCAAAATTGAAGGTGCCTCAAACTCTTGTGTAGGCTGGTGGCCTGGCAAGCCTCATGGCACTAGCCTTCGTGCATGTGGACCACAGGAACAACTTGCTACTCTCTATGAAGTTGGGCTGTCCTTTGTTACATCCTCCCGTCTTCCTAAGCAGTGGACATGCTATACTGCCTCCAACTTTAATGAGAAGGAGCGGGACCAGATTATGAAGGAGCTTGGAGACCAGTTTGATACAGATGTAGAGGCTGATGTATAGGTTTTGAGTTTGAGGCTGCATAGTATGGGTACTATGTCAAATGTAATGGCTCAATGTAAAGCTGAACCTTGATTGACCAGCACACTTATAAGGATTAAACATGATCTATTGTAAAACATGTAGGAGAAAATTCAAATGGTCTAGAGTGACTAAGATACAATTTCATCAGTATATATCTAGAAATTGCTTCAATCATAAACACTCACTCTAGGCCACTTGGGAGCCCAACTATCAAAAGTACGTGCACTTAAAGTCGTACGAGTAGCAGAGGCTGGATTATAGCCAGGGCCTAAGGGCCCTGTGGCACTCCAAAGATAGCAAGTATCCTGCCAATAAACATAGTCCTGACTGTCCACTATATTATATTAGCATGCAACATTTGCTGTAAAAACATAGCATATACCTGAGAAGGTCACAGGCCAGGATGTTGCAGCAATGCGCTGCCCATGACTATGGCGGATAATACCTTTCTTGAATGTGGTGTGTTGCCAGCCAAAATTGGCAAGAATATTGCTGCAGGAGAGGGTGATGCCCTGGATATGGCAACATGAGTCACCATGCTTCATATCCTCTATGGTAAAGCCACAGGAGCGGAGGATAGATGCCATAGCAGCATGATTGTAGACCATATCTGCCAAAACCCCTGCCCTTCCCTGCTGGCTTGTGTAGCGTGCAGCATAAAGACTGTCAGATGAGCATCCTCTGGTCTTACACAGAGTGTCAATCTGTAGGCCAGCACTTGCCATAGCAGGGGTAAGCACAGGAGGACCAGCATCCTATGAAGTATAGTTATCTTAGACTTAGTTAAACATAAAAGGCAATAGTGCACTTACAGCTGTAGTAGATGAGCCCTGTTGGTATTGAGGTAAGGGCACAAAATGAGCTACCCTGCCAGCCTGGTATAAAGTCAGTTAATGCCTAACAAGATAAACATAGTCATTTACCATAGACGACTCAGGAGCTAGCTGCACTCGCTCGATAAAAAGAGTGAAGCAAGCTCTTGTGGAAGAGGCTCCGAATAGTCGCAAGGTCTCTAGGAGTGTGACATTTGAGCGACACCATCAGGAAAACGTCACGGACTTGGACCCATACTTGGGCCCAAGTTCATGTACTTGGACTCAAGTCCGTGTACTTGGCCTCAAGTCTGTGTACTTGGCCTCAAGTCTGTGTACTTGGCCCCAAGTCTGTGTACTTGGCCCCAAGTCCATATACTTGGTCCCAAGTACACGGACTTGACCCAAGTCTATATACTTGGGGTACTTGGGGTACTTGGGCCACAACTTGGACTTTACATGTTGACTTCAGTATACTCAGGCCTCAATTTGAGCAATTGGTGTTTTATCAGTCACACATCTTGTATACTTCTTATGTAATAATATCTATCATAGACAACCATACACTAGTTGTAAACCAGTCTGTTTTAAGGCTGTAGAAGCAGCTTGATGGTCTATTAGAAGAAGGGCAATAACATGTGATAGAAGACTTTAAGTTGTTACAATGTGCTTGTTTTAGTAGTGATACAGAGGTACAATA